CATGGAGTACGACGACCCCAAGCCCTCCGAGGAGGAGATGATCAATTCCTACGTCAAAACCCTAGCCACCGTTCTCGGAAGGTACCAACTTGACCCATTTCCTTAATTCGGGTTTTTTCCCCTTTTTTTCTGTTGGATTTTGATGGCTTTGGGTTTCAGTGAGGAGGAGGCGAAGAAGAAGATATACTCTGTTTCTACTACGACGTATACTGGATTTGGTGCTCTGATTTCTGAAGAGCTTTCTCTGAAGGTCAAAGGTAATCGTTTCTGGGTTCTGGATTTTAGGGGTTTAAGGTTTGGATTTTCAAGCTTGGCTTGCTATGAATTTTAGGTATTTCTTGTGTTAAATGACTAAGGGTCAAGGTTTAAGGAGTAAAGCATTTCTCTTCGTATGAAGTATGGTTATTTCGTCTGAAAAGGCATTTCTTTTCTTCTTCTTTTTAATGGATTATGGTTGTTTGTTTGAATTTCATTGAGAGTATGGGTTTAAGAGTTAAAGTATAGTTCTCTATATGAATTATGGCTCTCTGATTGAATCACAATTAGATACGAAGGGATTAGGGTTTAAGAGGTTGAAGGGTTGCTTTTGACTTGTATTGGCTTCAACTCTGTAACTTTCGGTTGAATATGCTGGTTTTCTCCCTTGTTTTTTGTTTGATGGTTTTCCAGCTCCTGTTGGTTCCAATTTTTGCGTTGATATACAATTTGATGTGTTATTCCATTGTTCCTCTTAAATAGGGTTGCCTGGTGTTCTCTGGGTTTTGCCAGATTCATATCTCGATGTGCCCAACAAAGATTATGGAGGTGGGTAGAGTGCGAAACTTAAACTCATTTAGAAATTATCAATTTTTACCTTGTTAATTGTTATTATATTTGTTTTGTTTAATTTATCTCTCTGCACCACTTCTAGGGGATCTATATATCGATGGGAAAGTCATCCCAAGACCACAGTATAGGTACAATGAAAGGCAACAGCAAACTAGAAACAGGCCTCGTCCACGATATGATAGGCGCCGGGAGACAATGCAGGTTGAAAAGAGAGAGCCAATGCAAGGACAGAGCTTGGGCCAGGACAGGAGAGAGCCTGTGCAGCAAACAACACAAAGTTCCGCTCAAGGTGGAGGGACAGGTTCCACCAGAAACCAAGGAGAGTTTAACAGGGGCAGTGTTTAAGGATTCAAAATATAGTTGCAAATTCTCAGAACTCCCTATAATATTTCTTATGATGAATGACAACTCGGCATTTTCTATGTTTCACGACAAACTTATGAAGTCAGAAATGTGAATTATCTGTGTTGCCCCATTTTGGGATTTCTTTCTTTGAACACTATCTGGTATTTGGCTCATGTTTATTTATGTTGAGTTTATGCACTCAAGATCAGCGAGTATTAGAATGAATTTTTACTCTACAATTATCTATTGAGTCTATCTGGTATTTGGCCCATGTTTATTTAAGTCAATCTGTATGCTGCCTTCTTTACATACATTATTAGATATTGAAATACGTATGTTCGTAGCATGCTCTTGTCCAGTGGGCTTTGGGACATTGTCATGGAAAAGGTACTTCAGCAGTATGAAACGTGGATAACATTGTTTTGCTATCCTGGGCCAATCATTGTATGCCAAGTGAAAAAGTGATCACGCATGGCATACTGTGAAAAAGTGATCACGCTTCTCCAACATGAGCCGGGATGGATCGTAGGTGTTGAAGAAAAGGCATCTTCTTCCTCATGCTCTGTACGGAATTTACAAACTGGTGGGTTGTTTGAGTATGAGATGAGAAGTTTCCATCGCATGTCAGTTGAAAGAAGTGGAAGTATGTGCATTTTGTTCCTTGCGGTTCCTTGCGGTTGGTAGATGTGAAAAACTACTGCTTCTTTCATTACCTAGTAGGTGAAATTTCAGTGCAGAGAAAGATCCCAATCTCCGTGCAAAGATATATATGTAAATGATGCTAGGTTTTGCTCCTGTGTAGGACTTTGAAACATGGCACAAAATGATGTGTTCGTGGGTTATGAGCTTCAAATCAAAGTGTTGATGTCTGGCTTTAGCTTGAAAACAAGGCTAATCAATTAGGGACAAGACTTGCCCCAAACTTGTTCAATCCTCACTCAAATGCCAATGTGCAACTAAGACAAGATTAACCGCATACATTTACATATTTTGATCCACAACAAAACATTGGAACAACAACCTCTGCAATTTTGAAAATTAAATCACATATATTGTTTGATATTGCATATAAAAACCCACCAAAAACGTTGTAGCAAATAGCAGGTGGTTCAATTGGTTAGCTAGATTCGAAAAACAGCCGTGTAAGTTGTAACTTGGTAGGAAAACAAAATGGGTGATTTTATTGGCACCCAATTATTTGCTCTTTACACCCCACATTAATTTTAAATATAAATAACCTATTTTACCCTTGTACACAATTACTGTTAAGGATAAAAAAAATTTAAAATTAAAATTAAAATTGCTCACTACACCCCACATATGTTCATGCAACCCTAGTTTGACTTTTTTCTCAAACTATCATGTTCCTAAACCATAAAGATTTATAAGTTTATACTGGTGAAAAAATATCTTGTATTTATTCATGAAGGGTGAGATTGAAGTTAGAGAGGCTTCGAATGAGGTACAAGTTTATTTTTTGGCGTTTTGCAAGTTTAGTATTTCATAACAGTCGCTGGTTGCATCCAATACATCAGTACCGAATGCGACAGGTAAATTCGGTGGGATGCCACCGAAACGTTGCACCGTTTTCGGTTGGGTTTGACTGGTCAACAACTTAATATTCGGTGGAGATCCACCGTAAGATGGAACGTAGTTCAGTGGTTTACTACCGAAATTTTACCCGCGTTTCAGTGGCATCCAACCGAAATTTATTTATTTTTCAGTAACTTATTGCCGATCACAAATTTAATCCAAGCTATTTTGATCTTACTCCCATTAAAGGAACAAAATCAAGGTGACGCCCCTACTGAAGGCAACAATGTGGGAACAAAATGTGTAATGGACTATAGTGATCAATTCACAACTTATTCGAAAAAATTATTTGTCTGAAATCCTTTTTAGTATCATTAACGTGACATTAATGTTTCAAATTTTATATTTAAATAATATGAATTTTATGTGTAGATATTCAATGGTAGAGATATATTACTTCGATGGGCTCGTGAACAAGGAAAATGTGTCTGAAACATTGGAGAATCGTGCCCGTAATCATGACAAACTCACATACTCATTACTATATTAGTGCAATTGTTCAGTAGCCTCTTCATCAGTCACTCATAAGTACTTAACTAACAACTCAAAATTTGTGTCGTCGTCATCTCCAAGAGGAGCAACCGCTGCACCAGACACAAGAATGCCTAAAAGAGATGACACATCATCCAATGTAATGGTCATCTCACCAAAAGGCATGTGAAAGGTGTTCGTTTCGGGATGCCACCTCTCAACAAATGTAGATACCACAATCTTATTAGCATTCCGATAAGAACACCTAATAAGTTGCTCTAATCCAGACCTCTGAATGTACCCTTTGAATATACCATTATTTGGATTACCCCACCAATTCCACTCGCGAAGGGTAGATGTTTTCGACATGCACCTAAGGGGCTCACGTTCCTAGTTAAACAAAAAAACAAAATTAAGGTTAATTACCATGAACCAAACTTATATTCTACCTTCTATTATCACAGTAAAACGACTTACCTGGTTATTCCAAATTGCAGCTGCTATGTGAGTTTTAAAACTCGTAAATAAAGATGGATCAATGGGACCTACTCAGATGGCTCGATAGGCTCGGCATGTACCTCAACATTACTATCCTGAGTAGCAGCTACATCTTCAACCTATGCGTCAACATTACTATCATAAGTAGAAACTACATCTTCAACCTTTGTAGTATCCTCAAAGTGACCTTGAGGAGCCGCTCTGTGTCTTCTCGTTGAGGCCGTGAGACGTTGTCTATTAGGTCGGGATGATAAAGCCTCAGTAGTATCTCTGCGAGTCCTCTTCATATCTAAAAATAAACAATATTAAGTACACACTCAGTAATGTATTCGGTATATGATAACTGAAAAAATGAAATAAATTCGGTGGACTATCACTGAAAAAAGAACACATATTCGGTAGAGTACCACTGAAAAACCGAAATAAATTCGGTGGGAGTCTCCTAAAAAATAGAAACAGATTCGGTGGACAACCACCGAAACAAGGTAACAATTTCGGTGGTAACCCACCGAAAGTAAAATAAACTTTTGTACAACTCATGTTCAAATTCGGTGGACTACCACTGAATCAATGTAACTATTTCGGTGGTAATCCACCGAAACTAGAATCCAGTTTCGTAAAACCAGGTTCGAACCATACACAACGTTGAAATCAAAATCAAAATCAAAATCAGACGACCAAACTGCCACAAATAACTAAGATTTCTTGGGCTTCGACAGTCTTACCAGAACCACGTGGTAAGAAGTCCTTCCCAACATTACTCTCAAGGCAGAAGACTTCCCTCAACTCTACAAGACATAACAAAAATATAAGCAAACATTATATATTAGCATCACAACAAATTCAATACTTCAACCAATTCTTCTAAAATTCGCTATCATGTTCCAGAAGTGTTGTTTCTTTTTTCTTTTTTCTTCCCAATTAAGCAAAAGAATGGGTTCTGCGATGGGGTGTATTTGCAAGAGGAGAGAATTTTCGATGGGGTGGGGCTTGATATCATATGGGGTGGGGTTTGATTTCAGATGAGGTGTGTTGAAAGGGAATGGGGTTTTCAGTGGGTGGTGTCTGATATGAAATGAGGTTTACACAGTGAGTTAGGGAATGGTGTTCATGAGGGCAATTTAGGAAAACAAATGGGATATAATAAGTAATTTGAAATTTTATTAAAATTTAGTGGGATGTAAAAAATTATAGGGTGTAAAGTGCAATTAATGGGGTTCATATAGAATTACCCAAACAAAATAACCTTCCTCATTTCAGGCTTCAGCAGTTAAAGCTCACCCAAAATAGAAAGGTGACAAATTGGCACCAAAAAGAAAATGAAAACAATATTCTAATTCTTCCTCACCCCTCTCCGCTGTATTATTTGACACCAAGCTAGCTTCCGAGTCAATTTGGCACAAAACAAACCCCTCTCTCTGTCTCTCTCGCTCTCGCTCTCGCCTCTGCCTCTGGAATCTACAGATCTCAAAAACCTCTGTTTCTCTCAGGTACGCATCGGATCTCATTTCCTTTGATCCAAAAATTACAAAAAGTAGAGAACTTTAATCGCAAACCATGAATTCCAACTTCGACTTCGATCTGGGTCTCGGATCGAGCCGACCCAAATCGCTCAACGACCAGAAGAACAAAACCTCGACGGGGCAATCCAGACCCGCCTGGCAACCCCAGACCAACAAAACCACCTCCTGGACTCACCAGCCCGCTCCGGCCCAGACGGTCCGACCTGGATTAACCAACGCCCCAACTTCCATGGTCGGCGATATCTTCGGCAAGAGTTGGGGTTCCACAGCTCCTTCGGTTTCTAGCACCCCGATTGCGGTCGTCAATAAAAACCCAAATTTGTTCGGAGATTTGGTCAGCTCTGCAATGGGTGGTAAGATCAATAGTAATAGCAACGTTCCTTTAAAGAATGCAACCCCAGCTTCGAATAAGAGCTCGTTTTCCATGGGAAACGTGGCCGATTCGTTGCCCAAAACCACCCCTGCCACTGGTAATGGTTCGGTGAAAAGCGGTGGTGCAAATTATGGTGCTTCTGGGAATTTTGGGAGTTTTTCTACCGGGTTTAATACTAGTAATACGATTAACAATAGCGTTAATGCTAATAGTAATAAGAGTCCAAACATCGGAGGTCCTTCGCTGCGAAATATGGGCAGTTCCAGTGTTGGTGTTGGTGGAATTGGCAGTGGATTGAGCTCTAAGAAAGACCCATTTGGTTCTTTGGTTGATCTGGCATCAAAACCATCGGCTACTATAAATTCATCGAGTAAAAGTAACAATAAAAGTAGTGTTCCTAGTGATGATGCTTTTGGAGATTTTCAGAATGCTCCAAAGCCAAGCACCACCACTGCTACATTTGCGTCTAGTGGCTTCTCCTCGAATGATAACAGTTTTATGGGGTCAAACTCGGGTTCTGGCTTTGGGGATTTTGGGATTTCACCGAACCCGAACCCTGTTCAGTCTACTAGTAGTGATCCCTTCGACACTTTATTTGTCCCATCATCGAGTTCAGCTGGAGGTGCTGCAACAGCAAATAATGGAGTTGGAGTGCAGCAATCCTCTGACATTGATGACTGGGGGACAGAGTTTGGAGGAGGACATGATGTGGGTGGTTCGACAACTGAGCTTGAGGGTCTTCCACCTCCTCCTGCTGGGGTGTCAGCTTCAGCAGCAAAGAACAAAGGAATGGATAATTACAAGCAAGGGCAGTATCCTGATGCTATTAAGTGGCTTTCTTGGGCTGTAGTTCTTCTTGAGAAATCAGCTGATAGCTCTGCTGTTGCAGAGGTCTTGTCAAGCAGGGCTTCATGTTACAAAGAAGTAGGAGAGTATAAAAAGGCCGTGGCAGACTGCACAAAGGTATCTTGATTGCTTTCCTTTTTAATCTGTTTAGATATCTTAAACATTTCCTTTACATTCTACAATTTATGCACATTTCAAGTTGTCAATTTATGCGATTAAAAATTTCCTTGTTAATGCTGTTGGCCTAAAGTTGTAAGAGCTGCACATCTGTATAAGCTACTTGCGTAAGCTGGCTATTTTTAGTTAGCAATTAGATCCCACAGAGGTAAGGCAAGGAAATGTTTGCAGAAAAGGAATATTAGTTAAATACTTGCTCATAGCCTTATCTCAATTTTGCATGGGGTGGGATAGGGCGAAGAGCAGATCCTAGTTGAACTCCTCTTGAAAGTCAAAATAAAAGGGAGAATTAGCGCAACAAGTTTACGTATTAGCCATCCCTACTTAGAGACCAACTAGAAGTCAGACTCAGACTTGCTATTTTGGCCTTGTTGGTGGGACCCGCCCACCCTGTTCTTCACCTGTTTCTCTCAAACTAAAATACCATTTTCCTTTTCTCTAGCTTTTTTATATTGAACATGTTAGATTGATGTAGTAAAATAAATGTTTTCAAACGGTTCCAATCAGTTCAGCAGTGCATGTAGATGTATGTCTCATTGGCTTTGCTAGACACAGTGCACAAATTCATTATTCACAATTACTTTTTCCGCTTATCAAGGCTGTTGATCAGTTTAAACTTGATGAGATTATGTTTTCCTTCTCCTTTATTTCTCCATAGAAGAGAGTTCATGGATATGTTCATCCTCTGCAGGTTCTAGAACAAGATGATGCAAACATATCTGTTCTCGTACAGCGTGCACTCTTGTATGAAAGTATGGAAAAGTACAGACTTGGGGCAGAGGATCTGAGGACAGTTCTGAAGTTTGATCCTAGTAACAGGGTTGCAAGAAGCACCATTCACCGCTTGACACAAATGGCAGACTAGAGGATTTTTGAAACTTGATAATACTAGTTCATTCATTTGGGTTGATTGATGCCCTCTCCCCTCCCCTGTTACCATGATAGATTTCTGGGGAATTATAATATTTTACTTGATACTTGTCCTTGCCGATAGTTTCACGTGTATGCTGGTGTATTCAGTTTCTTCTGTTGCTTGTGACTGGAATTTGGAAATGGTTCTTTGTTACTTGAGAGTGGTGTTGGAATTGAAAGATTGAATTGCAATGTACATTGTCTTCCAAATGTGAGGGAGGCACTCGTGCTATTATTTGTTTGTGGATCTGGTGAGTCCTGTTATCATTTGGTTTTTTCTTTTCTTTTCTTTTTCTTTTCTTTCTCAGAACCATGGGCATGCTTGGCACTCTAAATCAAGCGTCCAAATGGACGTCAGCATAGAATCAGCTTCTATTGAGTGGTACTTTATGAGCATCTCCAACCGATATATCAAAAGTGCCACATAGACATTTAACGGCTAGAAATAACATTTCACATCACTCCAACTGATGTATCAAAGCTGATGTGAAATGAAAGCTAGAGGTTGATATGTTATTTTTGACATCCTAAAAGCAAGATGTCAAATGAATATTTTCTTTTCTTTTCTTTTCTTTTCTTTTTAATTAAAATTAAATTAACACTAAAATGTAATAAAATAATAATTTAATTTGACATATCGGGTGGAATGTAAAGCTGTGTAAGATGTCAAATTGCCACATCTGCCATCAAATTTAAATTTGATGTTTGGTATTTGACATTTTCTTTAGAGATGCTCTAATTCGTTGTAGAACCATGTTGCAATCTTTTTTCTTGTTTTGGTCAAAAATGTTGCAATCTTATTTACGAGATAATGCGTAATCGTATTTGTACTTTCCTGAGAGTAGAAAACTCAGCACTCAGAAGTGGATGAATAATGCCGTTTTGCAACTTGCATGCACATATACATATAAATATGTGCAACTAGTTCCTTAGATTGATCAAAATCAGGAGGATTGAAGAAGCTTGATTGAACTAACTTGTATGATTGTCGTCACATACATGAATTTGAATATATAAAAAACCATGCTCATGGTTTAGTGTTTAGCCTGCATATGTACAAGGGAATTGTTTAAAAAATAAAATAAAATAATGTGAAAAGATTGCAGCCCTGATTTGAAGATCACCCACCCCCACACCCAGTTGGGAAGAAAGAAAAAGGACCATTCTTTCAAATCCTTTTGTCTTGTTTGATGCAGTTATGTTGTGATCATGATTTTCCCAATTTCAAAGCCACTCTGAGCCTCTGAGCATGAACAAAGAGACATTTAAGTTTCAACCAGTAGCCAACCAGCCAGCTGATGCAGCTACTGCATCTTCCAAACCTCATAAAGAAATGGTATAAATATCATTCAATTGAAAGGTCAGACTAAGGACTTCATCTACCTCTCTACCCCTCTTGGTTAAAAAAAACATATCTTCTCTTCTGGGTTGTCTTAAATTGATTGGCCTCATTAAATTGTGTACCGGCAAGTATATGCAATAAAATAATTGATGATAATGGAAGCCTAAAAGAGGGTGACATGTGAGTGAGGTGTGTTTTTTTTTTTTTGGGTTTTTTTTGTTTGTTAGGGAATATTACTTGCTTCTTTATTGGTAATGAGATATTCCTCCTTCTTGCGAATTACAGTTTAACATATATGCAAAAATAATTTATCAAAAACACAAAAAGAAATTTTTTTACACACATATTATATTATTATCGACATGAATGTAGAAACTCTTACTTACCTGATAAAGAGGAAAGTATTATCCGAGGCTAAAGAAACAGAATACTTCGCAACTTAGCTGCTTCCTAAAAGCCTGCCCTGATATGCCCTTCTGGCTTTGGATGACGAAATTCTATCCTCCATGAATAATATCTTCTGGGCCTGGTGGTCCCTGCTTTGCCTTTCCTAGGCAATTAAGCCCATCCCTATTCCCTTGGGCTAGAGCTCCACGTTATTGGCTTACCCCACTCTTTTGTAACACATTATATCATATCAAGGAAGCTATAATGAAAGATTACCCTACTATCAATATGTGAGTCTAACACATGATATGATAGGTAACGCTAGATACACTTCTCTAGAAGTTTCTTGCACTCCTTTAAAAGGGTGCCCGAAGACAACTAGATAGCACAAACAAATAGGACTCCACCATAACCATCTTTTGCCAAAAGTCTAAAAAAGCTTCTTCTTTCTTTTACGAGTTGAAAATCTTTAAAAACTTGTGGACTTCATTTACCCAAAACACAAATACAAAACACATACCATACAAGCAACCCCAAAAATTCCTTACGCCAATATTGTAATTAGCACAAACCTTAGGGTCATTTACCAACAGTGTCACTCCAAAAGACAAAAGCGCAAGCGCGAGGCCTTCAACTCAACCGTTAAATTTTGGAACCAACTCTGACGCTCGCGTTACACTTCTTCGCACACCGAGCCAAACTAAAGTAACAGTTTTTTTACCGTCGGGTGTAACTGCCGAACTTACAATCTACCACGTTATCAATCTCCCAGTCCAACTTGCTCCCCAGCGGACCCCCACCCCCAATCGTACGGTCACCATCAATTCACCCCTAATCTTTATCCTGTAGACCCACGTATCTTCCCAGTACCTATTTTGATTCCTTCACTTTTTCCTACCGGGCTTTTTCCGTTTTTGCATCAAACTTTTCTGCACCGTCCGATCACGGGGCTACCCAAAAAACAGAAGGCCCACTAAAAAAGGCTTACTGTGGTTTTGTCTTCACGTGAAAAAGTTTGCTTGTAACCGACGGTTGTCTATAAATGGAGAGCCGAAGAGCGACCACTCTCTTTGTGTGTGTTTTATGTCATGCGAAGCCTCTCTTTTGTGTTGAAGTTACTCCTCCTGCAAGTGGCAATATCAACAACATGTGTGGTGGCGCTATCATTTCCGACTTCATCTCCGCCAAGCGCGGCCGGACGCTGACGGCGGAGGACCTCTGGACCGAGTTCGACACCATCTCTGACCTCCTTGGCTTAGACCACTCCTCCTCCTCCAACAACAACAACAACAAGGACCAGTTTGAGCATCAGCAGAACAACAAGAGGGTGGCTCAGAAGCCCAAAATACCTCTCTCTAAAGGTATCTATAGGCATTTTCCTTCCTGGTCTTATCTAAAAGGCTATGCTTGCATTTTTTTTTATTTTTTATTTTATTAAATCTTGAAATTAGTCTGCTGGTTGCTGAGTTGTTTGTTTTCGTTTTCTATGCTTCTGCATGATGGTCTTTTTTATTTTATCTGGGAGCTCTTTGGATTTAGATTTCACAAGATTTTCACTAGTGAGTTTTTTTTTTTCTTTTAAAAATAAAACTTGGGCTCTTTTTTTTGGTTTTATTTATTCTTCTTCTCTTCTTCCATGGTTTTGAACTTTGAAGCTGGTAGTTGCACTAGTAATAATTAGGAAAGGTGAGTTATTGATTTTGAACGAAGTCAGATTTTGCAATTAATTACTTACATACAAGTAAGGTGTTTGATAAAGAATTAAAGAGCATCAATTACTAAACTGCAGGAAGAATTACAACAACAAAATTCTAGCTAGTTAGTTGTGTTTATTATACATAAAATAAAACCTGTGCCGGTTTCTTCTTCCGCATGCGGTAGAGAGGGTAGGTCCAAAACACTATACTCGCCTAATCTTTTAGAGCATACACAATCACGCTATCTAATATTTTAGTTAAATTTTAACTAAAAATATATAAAAGTTATTTTAAGAATTCTTTATAAAATTTAAACTTTAATCGTGCTCTTTTGTTTAGGGAATCATAAATGCTATAACTCTTTTTTGATTAATCTATTTTTATTATAAAATAAAATAAAAAATATTTAACATTAAATAAAAATTTAAAATACTTATTAAATAAAACAGTATTAAATTTATTTAAAAAGATGATTTAGGAAGCCCATTATAGATACTCTTAGGACTTAGCCTGATTTTTCAATAAAATCCCATCGCCTTTGTGTAAAAAAACAATCCGTGGCAAGAATAAGATCATAAAAGTTATATTATATTCCATATATGATATGATATATCATGTTCTATACAAGAATAATTTTGTGATCATGGAAACCGTGATTGCTGTGATGCAATAGGAGCAGGGACAAGCGAGAAGCCCAAGAGGACGAGCCCAGGTGCAGGTGCGCAGAAGGAGGAGGAGGTGGGCAAGGCTAGTGATAAGAATAAGAGAGTGAGGAAAAACGTGTACAGAGGAATAAGACAGAGGCCGTGGGGCAAATGGGCAGCTGAGATTCGTGATCCGCACAAAGGCGTCCGGGTGTGGCTAGGCACTTACAACACAGCTGAGGAAGCCGCCAGAGCCTACGACGACGCCGCCAGGCGCATCCGAGGAGACAAAGCCAAGCTCAACTTTCCTGAATTACCGCCTTCTTCAGTTCCAGCTCCTGCAACACCGCCTTTGAAGAAGCGGTGCGTTGTTAGTCCAGCCGAGTCGACTCAGTCGAGTTTGGAGAGCAATGGAAATTATTGTAACTATGATCCGTTTGAGGGTGGCGAGATTTATGGAAAGAAGGAGGTGGGTAGAGAGCATGAGCTGAAGCAGCAGATATCGAGCTTGGAATCGTTCCTGGGTCTGGATGAGGAGGGGCCGAGTGAGGTGAATGGAAGGGGTGGTGGTGAGTCGAACAACTCGTTGGACCTGTGGATGCTAGGTGACCTGGTGACACATCATCATCAGCAGCAGCAGCAACAGCAGCAGAAGCAGCAGCAGGGTCAGCAGCTGTATTAAAGGAACAAAGTTGTAGTGGCTAAGCTCTCTCCATATAATTATAATATTATATATGTAGGGGTTTAAATTGCGTGTGGAAGAGACTGTGTTTTGAGTCTTTGACTGTGACTGTGACTGTGACTGCGTGTGTTTGTTTGTTTGAGAGCGAGAGAGCGAGAGAGCGAGCGTATGTAATGTATTATGTAATGTGAGCTGCTTTGGTATTTATGGATTTTAATATATATAGCAAGTAACTACTTTGGTGAATTATTTATGAGAGTTGAGTTTATATTATGTAGAAGAATAAAGAAGCGTGTGTGTTTGCATGCGTATCGCATCATCGTTCTTGTCGCCGGGCGTCTGCGTTTGTTTCGCCCATCCCATGTCGGTTCATGCATCTGAATTTGATGCCTGCCTGCCTAGGTATAATTATAATAATTTGCAGTTTCTTATTATTATTATTATTCTATGCGAGTACAATTATAGGATATGCATGAGTGAGAAAATTAAGATGAATAATATATACATATATATAATGTATGGCATCAGAATAGTATTGAGATGGGGGGTATGTATCTAAATTTTTGTCTTATTTGTTGGAGCTAGCTAAGTTGGAATATATGGTACATATATGTACATAAACAATAGTATTGAGATAATCAATTATGGTAATCCTTTGATCATATCGAAGGAGTTTCGTACTTTGTACACAATTATAATGAAAATGAAACCTACCTAGGAGATGCTTAAAGCTAATTAACATAACTGTCTCCACACATCACATAGCTTAGGGAAGAGGAAAAAGGAGGGAAAACTAGACTAGGATTTCAACAGAAAATCTAATATTTTAATATTTTAATTATGTTTACCTCTTTATAGTTTTCCAATATAAATTATCAAGATTGGCGCACACACATAGCCATTGTCGCACTATATAATACTAGTCTCTCCGCATGCGCTTCGGCACCTACTAGAGGCTTTTTTTAAAAAAATTTAAATTTATTTTAGAATGAAAAAAAATAATGAATAGTTGTATTCCATAAAAATAAGATCTATTATCTGATTTTTTTTTTTAATTTTAATTTTTACCATATTATCCTCATTTAATTAATAATTTTAATTCTTAATGTTTACATTAACCAAATACATTTTCTGGTATTTTAAATGTTTTACCATTCTCTGCATTTTGCTTTATATATACTAGCCTTTCCGCACGTGCTTCCGCGCTTGCGAGTGGTTTTTCTTTTTAAAAAATTAAAATTTATTTAAGAATTACAAAAGATAATGGGTAGTTGTGTTCCATAGAAATAGGATTCATTATTTGATTTTTCTTTTAATTTTTTTCTAATATGAAAAAGTATGAATTTACCATATTATCCTCATTTAATTAATAATTTTAATTCTTAATGTTTGAATTAACTAATGACATTTTTTGATATTTTGAATGTTTCACCGTTCTCTACCTTTTGCTTTATATATAGAAAGGGGCTCATGCATGCCGCTAATGTATGAAAAATGTTAGGAAAGTGGCGCGCGGTCTGCCGTTGACGGTGTTCTATCTCAAACACTTGTAACATATCTTCTTCTTTCCGTATCTGTTTCTTAGGACATCATGCCAAACAGAGAATGTGAATCCATGCATGAAGGACAACCAAACCAACCTCAACTATTGATTTATTTGAAATGGAAAAAGTAAAGAATCAGAGAAAATAGGAGGAATAAAAAAATGAAATCAGATCAACTACTTGTCCTAATTTATCCAATTCTTAATTTTGAGGGTATAGTCTACTAATTTTAAGATGACACGTTTTTTTCGATTCCCTGTGTTAATAAAAGTGGTGAAGTCAGGAATTGAAATAATTATCTTTCTTCTGTGTGTGTTTGTGTCCCTTAGGCAGTAGACGCGTTTGTCTACCATTTTGATTTCACAGATTCAAAGACAAATTTGTTGGTTGGTTTATAACAAATAACGTTTACCCGGAGTGGGGGAGTGGGAGAGAATTGGCAGTATCCCCATCGTTCCCAAATTTGAAACAGGATGAAGAAGCTATTGGCTGCACTTCCATTCCATGCCTGTAGCAATCAGATCAGAGTAACCAAGTTGGACACGCGATCACTAAAGTTGAAACACAAACTCAAGAAAAGACTCAGTTCCTTCTCTCTAGAATCCCCAGCCCCAGAACAAAGTTAAAAGTAAAAGATAAAACATAAACGGCAGGTGAGAAAAAGGAAATGTCAATTAGTCAATGATTCCTGTTTCCCAAGCATCAAGGCAATCACCTTTTTCTTCTCCTTCATCTTCTAGATTCAACGAAGGGTTAAAAATGAACCAAGGATCATTGAGCAAATTTACTAGTAAACCATGTACAGTAGCATCATATTTACCTATCATGGAGAGAGGGGTAGAAAAACATAAGGTCACATGTAAGAAAAACGTTGTGTCAACCGTAAAGAAAACTTAAGCTGACAATTGCTTCCACATAAAGAAAACTTAGAAAAAGGGCCAATTAGTCTCATGATACTATCAAATTTGATTGCGAATATAAGAATTTGGTACGACTCACGAAATGTACAAGGAAGGAATGCATAAAAAAAATATTGCAAGGTCAATTCATGTAAGCAGGTTGGTGAGCACTTGAGACAAAACATCTGAATTATGTGAAACACCGAAGGAAAGATGCATGAACCAAAGAAAAGCGCACGTCATTCAAATCTATGTGGGGGCCTTAAGCTAGGAGTCTAGGACAGTTGAAAAACATATTATATGTACCTTAACCACCATCCTTGTTCCTTAGTCTTCGGCTAATCAAATACAATCATTATAAGAACTGTTGTCCTGCAAACTAAAATGCTGCAAAGCAAATATTTTATATTTTATGTTTATGTCAGCTGACTCAGCCTCACCTTCTATGAAAAATCATCATTCAGTTCACTACCAAAGGATTTAGATAAAACCTATGAAATTAAAATCGTCACAAGAGTTCAAGTTGTCTGCCAATTAATAAGTAGTTGAATCAATTAGGGCCCTAATGATGTCACTTCAGACACCATTATATCTCTATATGCATCCTTATCCATATAGAACCAAATTGCAAAATTGAAATGAGAATAAATCTTCACAAGTCTCTAACAGAAACAGCAGATAAATAATTCATGATATAGCTGAGCCGCCGAACACATCACAATCTATGAATAAATGGATGCTCAGAAAGTATAAGCAACATAAACGATGCAGAAGATAGCATTGCAGCAGCAGGTAGTGATATACAAAATGATCACAACAAACTTCCTATGCAGCAATATAAAAATAAAACACAAGAAAATGTCTTTTGTGGATACATTCAGTGTATACATTTCTGAATTATCAAATATTTAGTGCATCAATTTGTAATGCTTTTTATTTGGACTGGCCTTCTAAAAATATTTTTAAAGAAAGTTTTCTTTTCTTAAACAAAAAGATCAAATCAGCCAGACATTTCCTTAAGGAAAGCTCCAATGACAAAGCCAACCATCACCAGAACAAGAAAAGGGACCAAACAAATGGGGCATCAACTTGCCTCCCCTCAACCCCTCCCCATTTGGCTTTAAGTATCCACCAACACATAGTGAGATCAATGACAACAGCTTCTTCTACCATGCTGTACCAATGATTGAAACCAACAACCAACAACCAACACTTAAGATCTTGCTTCCAAAGTTCATGACAGAACCAAACTACTCATTAGATTTCTTTATTTACTTCCATACCGTACAGATTGACGCAAATATGTTCTCAGCCCCATTCAGCTCTTGTTACATGGATTTTTCTTCACCGCACAATCCTACCCTCTACCTTTTCACTAAAAGAAAATTGTATAAGATTCTGTGATGCTATTCTTTTCCAAATTTCCATCAGTCTCAAACCCAGCAACCACACAAAGAAATGATCATTCTACTTATCGGTGCCCACATCTAAAATCAGATACAAGGGCAATTCACTTCAATACTACACAGTACACACTGTTCAATTTCATATGAAACCAGCTATTTAAACCAATCCATTAAAAGATATAGCCGCCTCATAGTGCGCGTGAGACTTAAGATACCAATATTACAGAACTACTTTTGTCAAAACTTCCATATTCAACTTTGAGAAAACAAGTCCCAGTGGAGGACTATCATATATAAAAGCGTTACTAGGCCTAACTTTTCCATAAACAAAGTAACTTCTTATATCTCCACCTCTTGATCAGGGTCTACACATCAGTTTTTTAATCCTAAAAAGTCACACTTTGAAATGCTTACATTCAATGTTTTCCTGGCAAAACTGCCGAAATTATCATCCCGATCCTTGTACATTATATAACTCAGTGTCCTTCCTCCTATTTTTAAAAAGAAACTTCATTTTGCAACCCTAAAAATTAGCATTAGCTCATACTTGCACAACCATATATAGATGTAATTCAAAGAAAAATGCATTATTAACATAATCAAACCATCTATTTATAAAAATAATGCCAATATATATACAAATTTGAGCATCAAATGTAAACCCAACCAACACATAAATTAAAACCAGATTTGTATCCCCTTTTTGATACGTTAAGCATTGAGAACGAAACGGTACCGCATCAGCAGACCGAAGTCAATCTCATCGGCACCTTCGCTCTCTCCGCATCGCCCAACCCATCCGCCACGATACGAATAACCCTCTTGAAGGCGAAGTGCACGCAATTCGAAAGCGCAATCCAACACATCACCTCGTACACGAAATCAAACGCAGGATCCGACGGCGAAGAAGACGACGACTCATCCCAATTATGCCCTCCAAATCTATCGAAATTCCAACCCCCGCCACCACCTCCGCTTCCGCCCCAGCCTCCGTTGAAAAACGGACCGTCTCCGCCGAAAAACCCACCATCCTCTTCTCCGCCGTCGTTCAAATCGTCGCCGCTCGACGATCTCCGTCTGGTGCGGCGTTTTTTGCGAAGGAGGGTTCGGGTGGCGGTTTTGTGAGAATTGGGCCTGACACGCGGCGGAGCGACAGCGTCGACGGGAAAAATAACGGCGGAGATCTGGGGGACTCCATTGGACGGCGAGGATTGATCTGGATGAGAGTCGGTGATTGAGATTTGGTTGTTGGAGGTGAGGTCATGGTGACGAATTAGGAACTTGGCGAACCCTAGGCCCTGTGCGGTGGTGGCGACTGTAACGGTGTCGTATAGGAGAGAGACGTCCATCACCGCTGGGTTCAATTTTCTGGGTAGAGTGAATTTGACTAATTTGGCTGGGGATTTGGAGTCTAAAAGGATGTGATTTTTGGTTGGGAAATTTTCCGGGAAAGTGCGGGAAAATAAGGACGGTGAAAGGGAAAAGATGAAAATTGTCAAAATTGTGGAATACCAGACGGAATTGGAGACAGCTGTGTATAGGCCACGTGTTATTCGTCGGCGGGTGGCTACTGTACTATATTGACGTGTCGAAGTCAAATAGAATCGGCCTCCAAACATCTTCTACTGGCCCCGTCAGAGGACTCGACAAAAGCCCGAGCATATTGGACAGGTTCTGAGGTTGCTCGTATTGTACAAAAGTTCTATAGTGAGAGTCTTATATATAGCTCTTTTAAGTGAAATCATATTTTTTAAATATTAGATCAAATTGATTAGCCATTAGATCAAATTAATTAGCCGTATACAACAATGAAGAGATATGACATCACCTAAGAGTCATAGATAAGACTCTCACTATAGAATAATTCCGTATCGTATTGTACTTAACGGTGTTGCCAACAAAGATGTTTGGATGTAAGATTTTCGTAAGTCTAGTCATGTCTTGATCTTGAACATGATCATGCGAAAGGCCCTTGAGGGGATTAGGAAGTGCCGTAGAGTTGGCAAGCCTCTTTTTTTTTTTTTTTTTTTGGGAGAATATGAATTTGTAGAATCTTACAAGTTCGGGTATGAATTTGAAACGACACTCAAAGTTTGGGGATTTTATGTAGTTGGATTCAAAAATCTAAAAGTGGGCTAGGACTTGGAGAATTTGTGCCACTATCTTGGGCTTCAGGGAACCTTATTCCGCGTCATTATATTGGGCTTTACGCAACCTCGTTATGCGTCGAGCGTAGTCCACATTTCTCAACTCGTCAAGTCGTAAGCTACTCTCAAACTATTTCAGCCGCTAAAAAAACCCTAACCTTATATACCCATCCCCTACCTCAATAGGAGCCTCCCAAGTTTTCTCTTTCCCGTAAAACCCTAGGCGGTGCCCCAGAAGAGCAGCAATGGTGTCGCTCAAGCTCCAGAAGCGGCTTTCCGCTAGCGTCCTCAAGTGTGGCCGAGGGAAGGTCTGGCTCGATCCCAATGAGGTCAACGAAATCTCCATGGCCAACTCCAGTACGTAACTCTCTGTCATTTTCAGAGTTTCATCCAGTTCGTTTCAAATCAAGTTCTTTGTCTTTTGGGTTTGGATCTGAATCAGTTGGAATTTTAAAAATATTATGTGGACCAGTGTGGAATATAAGATTTGGATTGGGTTTTATGCTTAATTGAATTTCTGTGAGAGCATTTCTGTCATAATCGTGGCGTTTAGTTCATGTTGATGGTCATTTTTGCTATAGGATGTGTTATTAGTAAGACCAATTTTCAATCAGTCATCATAAATGATTCAAGTATATACTGTACATTGTCGTTTTTAGAGATGGTCGCTTCAAATTTGATATACGTTTACGTGTCATTTGTGGTACAAGTATGGGTGCAGTTGGCCTGCTCTCAATTCAGATTCTTAATATTGTCAGTCAGTTTTAGCTTAAACTGTTCAGCTGGTTTCTGTGGTTGGGACTTCTATTGTTTTCTCTTTTATTTGGGTTTATCAAGATGTATTTTAGTGGCACCATAATGTTTGTTACATTTTGCTTTTATGTTCCAAAAACACCGCATTTTACTTTCTCTATGTTGGAAGGGTCGAATCGTAAAGGGAGTCATGAGATCACTGGATAATTTTGAGTCCTGGCTGCAATGGTTCTGCTATATTAGCAATTACCCTTTCCCTGCATAGTTTATACGATGCAAACTGTGCTTTATCTTTTTTTGTGTTTTTTCCCTCCATGTCAGACTAGTTTATCTTGCGCCTGGGTTTTATTTTGACTTTGATGTATAAATAATAATGTCCAATTTCAGGGCAAAACATTAGGAAACTGGTAAAGGATGGTTTCATCATCAGGAAACCAACAAAGATCCACTCGCGTTCTCGTGCTCGGAGAATGAAGGAGGCTAAGAGGAAGGGTCGTCACTCCGGACATGGTATGTGTTTCATGTTGAAATGATGGTCTTGTTTCATTTCTTTTTGGCATTTTACTGTTATCGTTCCTTCCATGAACCGTCTTAGTTCATTTGGGTTTCTTTTGTGAATCCTACTACTTTAAGGACATAGTAAAGATTTCATTGTGTTACTAATTTTTTCCAGGTAAGCGTAAGGGTACCAGGGAGGCAAGGCTTCCCACCAAAATCCTCTGGATGAGGAGAATGCGTGTTTTGAGGCGCTTACTCCGTAAGTACCGTGAGTCTAAGAAAATTGACAAGCACATGTACCATGACATGTACATGAAGGTGAAAGGTAATGTCTTTAAGAACAAGCGTGTGCTGATGGAGAGTATTCACAAGTCAAAGGCCGAGAAGGCAAGAGAAAAGACTCTGTCTGACCAGTTTGAAGCGAAGCGTGCTAAAAACAAGGCCAGCAGGGAGAGAAAGTTGGCTCGGCGTGAGGAAAGATTGGCACAAGTAAGTTTAGACATTAAGAAAATCACTTCAAATGTCCCTTTTTTCTTATGTGTCTCTCATGTTTGGGTGTAAATTAGGTGGAAAGAAAGAATTTAAGGTTGTTTTGCTTTGGAACACTAACACAGAGTAGATGGATAGGAATGTTATCTGCTAGTTATTTCCAAGTTTTATTTGTTTGCATGTTGTAACACAGCTTCTGGCCTTTAATTTTGTGGTGTTGTCTGGATGTTGCAGGGACCTGGAGAGAGAGCTGCACCAACACCTGCACCCCAACAGGCTGAGTAAGTTTACTTGAAATTTTGTTGTGTACATTTACTGTTGTACAAAAGGCTCATGAAAGTTTCCTGTTCGATTCTGTAGGGGAGGCACGAAGAAAGCAAAGAAGTGAGAGTTTTGATAGACCTTTCCTTTGAGCACTGAAGAACAAGATCTCTAGACATTAATGCTCTTAAGTTTAATTCTTTATAGAAGTTATATTGTGTGTTATTTATTTTAATGTGTTCTTTTTTGTTTTTTGTGGCAAATTTTGCAATCTAAAACCATTGAACTTAGTGAGTTGCACCAGTACCATTTTCTTAAACGTTGAATGATGTGTTTCTGACATTAGTGGATATATCAGTCGATGCATATTGAAATGTTAAAGCTTATAACAACTGTATCAGACCATACCCATACCCATACCCATACCCATACATGGATGAAAGTAGAGCTTCAATATGATGGTCCCTTTGTTGTGAGAATCCATTTTGGAGCTTTTGGGCATGAGCGAATCGAAGTCTTCTTTTCCTTTTGGAAAGATTTATGGAAATGCCTTTTTCTTTTGCAGCTCTGTAAAAATGCATGGTGCTCCCGCATTCCAGAATATTATGTTCTGTTAATCGTTAGATTGAGAATCTTCTTCCCAACCAAGAGTGAACGGGTCTTTTTCGTGCCTACGTTAGTTCCTCGGTTGGCTGAGAAAGGAAACAACAGTGGAATTAAGCAATTTATACCCAGTTGAAGTACCTCTCAATTATTAGCATGTGATCTTTTGAAGACAAAGCAAGACTGTTTCTTGAGAAAGACTTTCATAAAGTGAGAAGAAATATCACTATTTTGTTATTTTCGACTAATAAAGCTCTTTCTCAAAGTGAGAAGGAATATCACTATTTTGTTATTCTCGACTAATAAAGCTATGATACGTTTATCTTCTTCTATTTATGGTTGTCATTCTTTTGACGACAAAAAGAGCTCAATTGTGGATATGACATGATAATTACGGTTGTCAATTTTCAAAATTGAAGGTTGCTTTAGATCGCATCAACCAAATTTCAAGCAAGCACAAGACCATTCTAGTAGCCCCAAGAAGTTGACCAACATATTTTGAATTTAGGACTGTTAGATGGATATAAATCCCAACTCATTACCGACATTAATTAAATGTTAAATTTAATCAGGACACAAACACAATTTGTTTGGGACATGACATATATAGTTGGAAGAAAGTTTATAAAACATGCTCTCTTCCGTCAGGTTCTTGAAACGCGGACTACCGAGAAAGTTAAGAAAAAAGGCTCCCCACGTCGTTCTCTTAACCATAGGCGAAATCGAAGTTTCCACTTTCAGGTTTTGAGCCGTTTCACGTTGTTGCTTTGTGGTGCAGTGAACCAACTAACGGTCCAAAACTGGCCAATTCCGTCTCCCACTCTCTCTCCTCTGATATTTTTATATTACATTTTTAATTTTTCAAATAATAATTATACAATTATACAAAGTGGATCAAATTTATTTTTTTTCGATCAATCTCTCGAAGTGATCGAAAGCCGAGAGCAATGGAATCGGAGCAGTTGATATCGGGGAGTGGGTCCCGCTACGTCCAAATGCGATCCGATACGGCGACGTCGCCGTCGTCGTTTCTGTGCCGCCTGTCGTCGTTCGAGCCGGCTCGGATTTTCGAAGAGTTGCCGAGCGCCACCATCGTCTCCGTCTCTCGTCCCGACGCCGGTGATTTCAGCCCCATGCTTCTCTCTTACACCATCGAGTTCCAATACAAGCAGGCGAGCACCGATCTCTCTCTTCATGCTTTTCACTCATTCTCTGTTTCTCTTTGCCTGAGATCGCCTGCATGCTGCTTCAATTTCAGTTTTCTATCTGAATTATGTGTTTGGATGCCGAGAAAACTTGGATAAGAGGAAACCAAGTTCAATATCAGGATGTTAGAAAGAAAATTGAAAATAACTTTTAACTTATCTAGAAGTTTTTCATTCTATTTCTATTTTCTTTCCCAGATTGATAGGAGCATTGTTAGATAGTATACATGTTGAGTGCTGATTATTTCCAAATTGGGTCAGGCCTTTCGAATTTTCTCTTTTTTATCAAGTTCAGCAGTTCTAGCTTTTTACTTTTATGTTTTTTATGTTGGTAATGCTGTTTGTGATTATGACTACGCAATGCTATTACTTTTTCATATTATGATGATGATGATGATGATGTACTAATTGTGTGTGTTATTTTACTCAACTAGTTTAAGTGGCGGTTATTGAAGAAACCTTCACATGTATTCTATTTGCATTTTGCATTGAAGAAACGGGCATTTTTTGAGGAAATTCACGAGAAGCAAGAACAGGTCTGTCTTTTAGATTTTATCATCTGAGTTTACAAGCGCATGCCAGTTTGTATTTTCACTCTTCTATGCCCTTTGGCAGTTAGCTGCTTACTTGGGAATGTTTGGGATTTAATATCGTTTGCAACATTATATTAAAGGTTAAAGAATGGCTTCAAAATCTAGGAATAGGAGATCACACTGAAGTGGTACAAGATGATGAGGACGCCGATGATGAGACTGTTCCCCTGCATAACGAAGAAAGTGCTAAAAACAGGTTACTACTTATAAAGCCATGT